GCCGGCCCCACCGTGTGATTTAAGGGCCCCGAGGGGAAGGACTTCGGGCAGGCAAAACAATGAGCAGAAGAAAGTGCTTGCTGTGTGTGTGTGTGTGTGTGTGTGTGTGTGCACAGCTCACGCGCGGGCATACGGGTGGGCACAGAGACGTGCATCGGAGTTGCCCTTCAGATGCAGCAATGCAAAAGTTACTCATATGGCTTTAGAATCAATTTTCTGATCTTAAAAGAGGGGGGCAAGGAGAAAAGAGAGAGAGAGAGAGGGAAGGAGAAATTAAACAGCTGATTACTTTGCTTCTGACTATCCTTATATCGTAGCTACCTGGTTGGATAATGTCTGGTTAAATGTGCTGTTAAATCATTTACAGCTGGAGACGAATTTTCAGGGAGCTGAAGGGCAATTTGAAAACGGGAGATTATCCGCAGAGCACGCTAGCCGTCCTCAAATCTGGCGCCCCTCCAGGGGGCTAGGCTGCCACCCCCCCTCCACCTTCCTGGCTGGGGATGATGGGAGCTGGTCAGAGTTCAACCCGCCTGACGGGGAACGGACACGGAGAAGGCTGGTTATATTGTGTGCTGTTATCCCGATTTGTCCCTTGCAGATAGATTCGGGTGTGTGGGATAGGGTGTTTGTGTCATTTCGTTGTGAGGGTCACAAAACACACCACGCAAGGCATGGGAAGCAGAGTATCTTGGGATTCCCCCTCTAAGGACGATGACGTTCCAGTCTTCGCTTTAAATGATCGAGAGGAAAGGCTACCAAGATGGATTACAGATGGTCAGATTTATGAAATCTCCCAGTCCCGGCCAGAAGTTCTTAAAAGGGATGGACAGAAGTCCCAATGAATGCCACAGTGTCTCAGTGAAGGCTCAGGATAAGATTCACATTGAGAGCTATGCATTAAAGGGGCAAAATTTTTGTGCAGTGACCGGTAGAATTAGAGAAGAAAAATTTATCTCGATTGCAGTAAGGCAAGTTCTTTTTTTTTTTTTTAAAAAAAGAAAAATGTGCACCCAAGATAAATGTCTTTGGCCCACGAAGATTAATTGCAATGTTTCTCCAAGCAGGGGAGGGTCTTGGGGAATGGAGCTGGACAGGGGTGGTATGTGCAGAAGCGTCAAAAACGGGACGTGATGAGGTCAGGGCAGGTGGGCGGAGCCTCCTGCAGCCGCCGCTACCAGTTTGCCCGAATCGGATAGAACCAGCTGAATACCACCACTGGAGCGGGCCACAACTCTTCCCTCTAAGCAAAAGGAGTTTAAAAAAAAACAAACTGGACAGCCACCTATCTGAAATGATAGAGGGTTTCCTGCTTAAGCAAGGGGGTTGGACTAGAAGACCTCCAAGGTCCCTTCCAGCTCTATTCTGATAGATTGGTTGGTTTAGAGGGTCTGAGCAAGAGAAGTGTCACTGATAGCGTGGACGTCAAAAAGAAGGGGACAGATTCAGGGGAGCCTGACTAGCGGCCAGTGGTGGGATTCTACCGGTTCAGACCGGTTCGGTTGAACCGGTAGCTCCGACGATCAGAAGGGCCCACTTGCCCACCCGTGCTATTTTCCTACCTTTATCTCCTCAGCTGATTTGGGTGGCAGAGCCGATTGCCACGCGAATCAGCTGTGTCACTCCTCCGAAGAAACCCGGAAGTGACGATTTGTTCAAAATGTGCGCGCGCGAAGCGCACAATCACCGAACCGGTTGTTAAACCGGGAGGATCCCACCACTTGCTAGCGGCTTACACTGCACCCAGACGGGCAGTTGCAGGCCCCCTCCTCCACCCTCTCCCCCCACCCCAAGGCAGAGCAGGGAAGGGACATCGGCCTACCTGGCAATATATTTCTGGTAAATATTTACATCTTCGGTGACAGCTGGTTTGTCAGTGGTTAATCCATTCCTAATGAGAAGCACACACATGGCAGAGATGGTTAGCACCAGGCGGTATCAGGAGATGCATCAAGCCACCCCGTCCCCCACCCCACCCCAAGCCACCCCGTCCCCCAAAGGACAGAGACGTGGCCCAGAGGGGCACATGGGTTTCCTCATCTCTGGCTCGCTAAGGAGCATTTCACCCTAAATTCACTAACAAGACCTGTTTGGCCAAAGGATGGCTGCCTGTTTATTGATGGAGGCAGTCACTTGGCCCGTGCTTATTTACCCTGCATGTGACCCAAGAAAATCTGGGCTTGAGGGGCCTGGATGGAGTTCTCCAGAAAGATAGGCAGGCAGAAGGACATTTTCCAAGATCGTTTTGAAGCTGGAAATGCCATCCATCCTTTGGCCTTCTCTATGCCAAACGGAGCTTCTTTCATTGCCTATTTGCAAGGTGAAGGAAATTTAGGATTTCTCCACTTAACACCGGCTTAATCCAAGCAGGACTGCGGCCTCTCCCTTTGCCTAACCATCTCTCTCTCTTTTTTTAACCTGCCGCCTGCCTTGGCTACTGGGCATAAGACAGAAGGTAAATAACTGAAGGAAATGGCTCACACCGAGTGCTCCTCCCTTAAAGTCTTGGCGTAGCCCTTTCAAGGATTCGTAGGCAGGTAGGGCCTGGAGGTAAGCCACACCAAGGCTCCCCACAAAAATCACAGGGATGTCTTCTGCTTGACTCACATCACACCTGCCAACGTTTTACCTGAACTCTGTGTGTGTGTGAGAAAGAGAGGGGAGAAGGGAGAAGGGAAGGGAGGAGAGGAGAGGAGAAGGGGAGGGGAAAAGAGGGGAGGGGGAAAGAGGAGAGGACAGAAGAAAAGAAGGAGAAGGGGAGTGGAGAGAAGAGAAGAGAAGAGAGAAGGAGAAGGGGAGAAGAGGAGAGAAGAGAGGAGGAGAGGAGAGAAGGAGGAGAGAAAAGAGGAGAGGGAAGAAGGAGGAGGAGAGAAGAGAAGAGAGAAGGAGAAGGGGAGAAGAGGAGAGAAGAGAAAAGAGAAAAGAGGAGGAGAGAAGAGGAGAGAAGGAGAGGAGAGGAAAGAAGGAGGAGGAGAGAAGAGGAGAAGGGGAGAGGAGAGGAGGAGGAGAGAAGAGAAGAGAAGAGAAGAGAAGAGAAGAGAAGAGAAGAGAGAAGGAGAAGGGGAGAAGAGGAGGGAAGAGAAAAGAGGAGAAGAGAAGAGGAGAGAAAGAAGAGAGGAGAGGAGAGGAAAGAAGGAGGAGGAGAGAAGAGAAGACGAGAAGGAGAAGGGGAGAAGAGAAAAGAGGAGAGAAGAGAAAAGAGGAGGAGAAGAGGAGAGAAGGAGAAGGGATGAGGGGAAAAGAGGAGGAGAAGAGAAGAGAAGAGAAGAGAAGAGAAGAGAAGAGAAGAGAAGAGAAGAGAAGAGAAGAGAAGAGAAGAGAAGGTACCGAATGATAAGAGTCTCCTGGAACCAAGCATTTCAAGAGATTGACAGCTCACATCTGGTTGCCCTTGACATGCTCCTGTCTTGAGACGGGTGATTTAAAAGGTCCCGGTGCCTCACAGCTGGTTTTGCGATGAAACGACTCTCTCTCCATGGCCTGGATGAAAGCCAAGCCCAACTCCAGCCCACCGAGGAATCGGTGACAAGAGAATCTGGCGGGGCCACGTAAAGGGAGCAGGCGCCTGCTCTGTGGCGGTAACGCATCCCGCTCGGCTCCGGTGGTTTTTTTGTCTTTGCTTAAGCTTCGGTTTCCATTGTTTTGGGTTTCTTTTTCATTCCCTTCTGCCAGCTCTTTCGGTCTCCCCACCCTCTCCCCACCCTGAAAGTATGGAATAGCGGGGGAAACAAAATAAATCACGCGACAGGACAGTTGTTATCATGAATAACTGGATGTGTGGGGTGAGCAAACGTTGGACTCCCCTGGGATCGCTCGGCACGGCGCTGGAAACCACGATCCTCCAGCCACTGCACCCGGGGTCGGCTGCTGGGGGTTCGCAGGGGTTCAGGAGATCCTCTAGCTCAGATTCTCTGCAGTTCGGAGAACCCCCAAATCCCACCGCTAGCTGGCCCCGCCCACCCCACCCCTCCCCTCTCCGGAGTCCCCACGCGGCCCGTTTTGGATGCAGGTAAGTGCAGGGTGCGTGCGGAGGCTCCGGAAAGATGAAAAATGGGCCTACCGGAAGTCCGTTTCCAGAGGGCCTCCGGAACCTGGGGAGGCTGTTTTCACCCTCCCGGAGGCTCGAGGAAAGCCTCTGGAGCCTGGGGAGGGCAAAAATGCCTCCCCTGCCATGGTGCAGGAGGCCGACTAGACCCTGCCCACCATGGCCACGCCCACCCAGCCACTGAGCAGAGAACCCCTTGCTAAAATTTTTGAAGCCCACCCCTGCACTGCACCTAGGGCAAAAGAGGAGCTCGGGGTTGGAGGTAGGGGTGGGGGAAACCAATCCCTGAGTACAGGTGGTCCTCGACTTACGACCGCAACTGAGCCCCCAAATTCCCGTGAAGTGAGACGTTTGCTAAGGGAGCTTTGCCTCATTTTACGACCTTCCTTGCCACGGCTGTTAAGCGAATGGCTGCCGTTGATCAGTTGGTAACCCTTGGCTGTTAAGGGAATCTGGCTTCCCCATCGACTTGGCTGGTTGGAAAGGTCGCGAAAGTGGATCACTGTGACCCCCCGGGGCACAGCAACGGTCATAAATAGAGGAGTCCATTGCCAAGCATCTGAATTTCGATCCCACGACCCTGGGGACGCTAAAATGGTCGTGAGTCACATTTTCCGGGGCTGTGGTGATTTTGAATGGACCGGACAGCTACTTGTCTGAAATGGTATATATATATATATATATATCGGGTCTCCGGCTTGAGCAGGGGGCTGGACTAGAAAACCTCCAAGGTCCCTCCCAGCTCTATTCTGGTTCTGAATGGTCACTAAACAAAACTGTTGTAAGCCGAGGATTGCCTGTATCTACTGAGCCCAAAGAAATCAGAAGCAGATCCCAGTTTTCTGAAAAGCTCCCTCGAGTTTTCTTTCTTTCTATTACAATTCCCATTTTTAGGAGAATCCCCCCCCCCCAAAATAAGAAAGCCTTGGTGATCTACCTCAGACCATCCAACCTGGTGTAAGATCCTCAGAAGATCCGGGCTGGATCAGGCCCAAAAGGTTCACGTTTTGCTACTCGCTGTAGCCAAAACAGAAACTATGAAAATTACCCTTTCGGCTCCGTCCTCTCACCCCCCCCCCCCATTTTTATTCCTCAGCCAATAACGCAGGGAGTCCTCGGCTTACGACCAAAACTGAGCCCAAACGTTCAGTCGCTAAGCGAGACGAGTTGTTAAGTGAGCTTTGTCCCACTTTACGACCTTTCCTGGCGCAGTTGTTAAGCGGATCGCTAAAGTTCTTACGTGGGGGAACCCGGACGTTAAATGAATCAGGCTCCTCACTGACTTTGCTCGTCAGAAAGTCGCCAAAGCGTGACTCCGGGACGCTGCAACCGTCGTAAATAGGAGTCGGTTGCCAAACGTCTGAATCCTGATCGGGTGACCATACAACGGTCGTTAAGTGTGAAAAAGCTCATCAATCCCTTTTTCCGCTGGGCCGCTGTGATTTCGAACGGTCACTAAACGAAAGGTTGTAAGTCAAGGACTACCTGCAGCCCCAGGAATACAAGTAGCCCTGGACTTGCGACCAAAGTTGAGCCCAAATTTTCTCTCTGTGGCTGACTCGCATCTAAGACGGTTGCAGTGTCCTGGGGTCATGTCATCCACTTTGGCGGCTTACTTTGGTGAGCAAAGTCGATGGGGGGGAAGCAAATTCATTGCACAACCGGGTTACTAACTTATCCGCTGGAGTGTTTCACTTAATGATGGTGGCAAAACTCACTTAACAAATGTCTCACTTAACAACGGTAATGTTGGGGGCTCAGCTGTGGTCGTAAGTCCAGGACTACCTGCCTTAAGTGTCACGCTGTATTTGGTCCTAGAGCTATTACCTAGCACAGGGTTCTTGAACCTTGGCAACTTTAAGCCTGGTGGACTTCAACTCCCAGAATTCCCCAGCCAGCTCTGGTTGCTGGGGAATTCTGGGAGTTGAAGTCCTCCAGGCTTAAAGTTGCCAAGGTTCGAGACCCCTGTGCTAGCACCTGCACCTTCTCATCCATCCATGAAGTTATTTTATCTACCTTTCAACCTGTTCTACTCCCTCGTCTTCCCTGTCACCCTTCAGAGCCAAAGTAGGGTCTCGACTAGGGATGGGCTGATAGGGGGTTCGCAATGGGTTTGGGGGAACCTCTAGCTAAGATTCTGTGCAGTTCGGAGAACCCCCAAATCCCACTCCTGGCTGGCTCCGCCCACCTCACCCCGCCCCTCCCAGGAATCCCCAAGCGGCCCGTTTTGGATGCAGGTAAGTGCAGGGCGCTCACGGAGGCTCGGGAAGGGCGAAAAACGGTCCTACCGGAAGTCCGTTTCCAGCCTCCAGAGCCTGGGGAGGCCATTTTTGCCCTCCCGGAGGCTCAGAAAAAGCCTTTGGAGCCTAGGGAGGGCAAAAACCCCACCGTGGTGCAGGAGGCCGACTAGGCCACACGCCCACCCAGCAAAAGTTTTGAAGCCCACCCCTGGTCTCGACCCCAGCCTGGCACCCCGCAGATAAGCAGGACTGCAACCACTCAGCCAACATGGTGTCTCTCAGCTCTGCACCGGTGGAGAGGGCCAGGTTGGAGAAAGCTGCAGCCCGGCGGCCCTTGCTCTTCCCCACGTCTTCCCCATGAACGACGATAGACTTACTTAACGGTGGAAACGGTTCCGGTGGTGATGGAATCCGTCTTGGAGAAAGTGGATTTAAGGTATTCCGGAGTGCTGAAGGGCAGAGAGACGGGTTGCTCAGGGCCAGCTACCGGGGTGCTGCTGGGAGTGCTGGCAAGAGGGTTGGGACCCAGGCTAGGGGCTGGAGCTTTGACCGGGGTAATCTTCTGGATGTTCCTGACATCGTATTTGGACGGGCGACCCACTTTGCCTGTCTTGAAAGCGATGGCTCCTCCCATATCCGGGCTGCCTTCTCCGGGCTTGAAGAGATGCAAATATTTGACGTTCTCCAAGTCGTACTTGGAAGTCTTCTTGTAGGTGTTGCCGTTCTGTGGCCGGAGGGTCTCGCCGGTCTTGAGTTTCTGGATGAAGAAATCGTACTTGGAGGCCCGCGACATCAGCCCTTGCATCTGGGAGCTGCTGCTGGACGAAGGCAGAGGCAAAATGGTGGCTTTCGTCTCGGGCAGGAGCGAGGTTTCCGGGGCCGGCAACCGGATGGGTTGCCCCAAGCTTAGGGGACCCTCTTTGACTAGCTTGCTGGTCAGCTCTTCAGTCTTAACTGGGTGAATGGGCCACGGGACCTGCTCCCCTGCCTTCAACTTGCGGATGTACTCTTCGTATTTGGAAAAACGGGCTCGCTTGCTGACGGCATCTTCTCCGGCAACGGCGGTTGGGTTGGTCTCTGAGGTAGGAGCATTCAGTTTCTCAAAGCTAATCTTGCGAGCCAGCTCATCCCGCATGTTCTGGTCGTCGTAGCCGTACATGTTCAGGAACTCGCTCATGGTGGTAGCAGCGTAGTCTCGCAGAGAGGACGCCTCCCCTGGAGTAAGCGACAGAAAAGACAGAAAACGCGTCACTCGACTGGGCATCTTATTCCCGCCTTGCCTTCCGCGGTTGCCAGCTGAGGTGGTGGGGATGGGGGAGGCGGGGGGGGGGAGGGAAAGAGAAGGAGCAAACACAACCGGCTGACGTTTGGCTCACTTGTTCGGTTTTACGACACTTAAATTAATTTGTTTTTTTTTCCCCCAAAGTAATTAATACTGGGGTAAAATAAAAAGAGTTCATCAATGCCAGGAAAATCAATTTCCTAAATGTTCTAGCCGATGGCTTTTCAGTACATTAAACAAAGTTTCATAAATGTCTCCGCGCGCCCGCCTTGGCCTAGGAAGTCATTTTCCTGGAAGCGAGGTTGATACCAATATGCCAAAGGCTGGCACTGAGGAGACCCCTTCCCACCTCCCCAAAAAAGCAGTGAGGTGGGGACAGAAGCAAAGGGGGAGAAAGAAGGCAGAAGGAACCATAGGGGGGGGGAATGAAACCTTATAAAAAAGTTGTGGACAAAAGTAGCCGGAAAGACATTTTTGATTGACAGCGCGAATGAGCGTGTGTGAAAAAGCGTGTACACAAAACCCATCTTCTTCACTCCGTTCACAATTAAGTTGTTTAATTTGTTGTCCCGGATGCATTCTGAATCTGGGTATGTCTACCCACGGTTATTAATGAAGTTGTCAAAATGGAACTTGTACGTTTGGAAAATGACAACAATCGAGGGTCGGCTTGGAAAGAACGAGATTTCCCTTAAAAAAAAAAAAAAAATCTCCCAAGCTTTTTAGCGAAATTCTCAGAGGCATCAGACTGGCCCAGGGATGGCCCTGCTGGGGGTTCGTAGGGGTTCGGGAGAACCTCTAGCAAAGATTCTGTGCGGTTCAGAGAACCCTCAAATCCCACTCCTGGCTGGACCCGCCCATCCCACCCCTCCCAGGAGTCCCCATGCAGCCCGTTTTGGATGCAGGTAAGTGCAGGGTGCGCGCGGAGGCTTGGGGAGGACGAAAAACGGGCCTACCGGAAGTTTGGGAAGGCCGGTTTGGGAAGTTTGGGAAGGCCGGAAATGGACCTGTTTCCAGCCTCCAGAGGGCCTCCGGAGCCTGGGGAGGCTGTTTTCGCCCTACCGGAGGCTTGAGGAAAGTCTCCGGAGCCTGGGGAGGGCAAAAACAACCCCCCGCCATGGTGCAGGAGGCTGACTAGGCCACGCCCCACCATGGCCACGCCCACCCAGCAACCAGGCAGAGAACCCCTTGCTCTGTGCGTGACCACAGGCTCATGATGCTCTCCTCCAGTAAAGCGTTAAAAAAAATTGGGGTGTATAAAAACAAGGGTGACCCCATTCTCGCCGTCATTGGACTTGGGATGTCTTATGCCAGATAATTTTTCTGATAAATTTTTAATTTTTTTTTTTAAATACATTTTTTGGATGATTTTTGAAAAGATAATTGTTGGATAAGGTTTTTGGCAGCAGCCAAAAAAAAAAAAAAAGCTAATACAATCCTCGGTTGTGTAAACAGAGGGATTGAATCAAGATCCCGTCAAGTGTTAAGACCACTTTATAATGCGCTTAGTAAGACCACACGTGGAATATTGCATCCAGTTTTTTAAAAAAGACGTGGAGACTCTAGAAAGAGTGCAGAGAAGAGCAACAAAGATGATTAGGAGACTGGAGGATAAACATATGAAGAACGGTTGCAGGAACTGGGTATGTCTAGTCTGATGAGAAGAAGGACTAGGGGAGACATGAGAGCAGTCTTCCAATCTCTCAGGGGCTGCCCCAAAGAAGAGGGAGTCAAGCTATTCTCCAAAGCCCCTGAGGGCAGGACAAGAAGCAACGGATGGAAACTCATCAAGGAGAGAAGCAACTTAAGAACTAAAGAGAAATTTCCTGACAGTGAGAACAGTTAATCAGTGGAACAACTTGCCACCAGAAGTTGTGAATGCTCCAACACTGGACAGTTTTTAAGAAGAGGTTGGATAACCCTTTGTCTGAAGCAGTGTAGGGTTTCCTGCCTAAGCAGGGGGTTGGACTAGAAGACCTCCAAGATCCCTTCCAACTTTGTGTGATCTATGTGTATCATCAACCTTCTCCCTTCACTTGGTCAACACTACCCAGGAGTCGATTGTCAGAAGCAACTCCCAAAAGGCTAATATGGATACAACGGGAAGGCCCCAGTGTCACATCAGGTTCTGATTATTCCCATTTTTTCTTTTAATTTGATTTATATGCCGCCCTTCTCCGGAGACTCAGGGCGGCTTACAGTGCGTTAAGCAATAGCCTTCATCCTTTTGTATATTTATACAAAGTCAGCTTATTGCCCCCACAAACTGGGTCCTCAAATTTTGCACTCTCTGAGAGAAGAGGAAGTGACGGCAACTTGAGCGCAGGGAAGGGACTCCGATCTCCCAACGCCATCTCGCACTCTCTACCTGGGACTCTGCCGTCGGTCTCAAAGATACTTCGAAATGCGCGATTCCAAAAGATAAAAGGGACGCTCCGGTAATCAGCCGAGCAGCTGATGGACTGACTCTCTCTATTCAAGAGGCAATATTCCCTCTGATTGCCGGGCTCTGGGGAACAGTCAAATGACACCAAGGGACCGTCTCAATTACATCCAGCTTGTGGGCGGGTTGGAGAATATGCAGCTGAGCACTTACAGGAGGCAAGCAACAAACCCGAGGGGGCCTTTGTTCCGATCCTACGGAAAACGTTTTCACGAGATCCTTATATTGTGACGTTGCCCTGTTATCTGCACCTCGATAACTGTCTGGTTTGGCTCAGCAACCCAACAAGACGGACAGAGACTTCAGAGGATCATTAGAACTGCAGAAAAAACAATGGCTACCAACCTGCCTTCCATGGAGGACCTGTATACTGCACGAGTCAAAAAGAGGGCTGGGAAAATATCTACAGACCCCTCGCATCCTGGACATAAACTGTTTCAACTCCTACCCTCAAAACGATGCTATAGAGCACTGCACACCAGAACAACTAGACACAAGGACAGTTTTTACCCCGAACGCCATCACTCTGCTCAACAAACAATTCCCTCAACACTGTCAAACTATTCACTAAGTCTGCACTACTATTAATCTTCTCATCGTTCCCACCACCCATCTCCTCCCACTTACGACTGTATGACTGTAACCTTGTTGCTGGTATCCTTAACGATTTATATTGACTGTTTCCTGATATGATTCGATTGCTTATTTGTTCCCTATGACTATCATTAAGGGTTGTACCTTATGATTCTTGACGAACGTATCTTGTCTTTTATGTACACCGAGAGCGTATGCACCAAAGACAAATTCCTTGTGTGTCCAATCACACTTGGCCAATAAAAAAATTCTATTCTATTCTATTCAAAACCTTTGAATAGGCTCGTTTGGCACAAGCAGGATCACCCAGAGAGTGAGATGTCTACCGATCACAACGTCACAATTCACTGGGAAATTATTTATTTTAATTTATTTATTTATAGCCTTCATACTTTTGTATATTTTATACAAAGTCAGCTTATTGCCCCCACAAACCGGGTCCTCATTTTACCCACCTTAGAAAGGATGGAAGGCTGAGTCGACCTTGAGCCTGGTGAGAATTGAACTCGCAGTAATTGCGGGCAGCTGGATGTTAAATGCTGCCTTAGAAGGAGGCATTAGCCTCCTACGCCACTCAGGCTCCACTACGCCACTCAAAGAGCCAAATGGGTCCAAATGGCTCTTTGAGTGTTTAAGGTTGCACACCTCTGGTCTAGTCTCTCGGGCCGCGGCATGCCATCAACCAGGCCGTGCAAACAAGCGAAGCCCCATCCGCGGAATGCAGGCAGCATGCCAAACCACGCCTCCCTCCGGTCCCCGTAAAAATAAAACCCTCTCTCCGTGGTGCCCAAAACGTTGGGGGGGCCACTGATCTGGAGGACAGAGAAGATCACCCGGTCCTTATTTCCCAAGTGATGTTCTGCAGGGCCCCGAGCTTCAGCAAGTCCAGAGGTCGTATTCAGGTGGTTCGGGCGAACTGGTAGTAGCGAAGTACGGTTATGCAATGCGTGGAAGGCATGCGCGCTTGCTCACATTTTCGACGTTGGGGAGAAACCGGTAGGTAAATTATTTGAATCCCACCCCTGATTGCAAGTCCCAATCAATTAAGAGCCTCGGTGGTGCAGCGGACTAAAGTGCTGTTAAATGCTAGCACTTAGCTGCCAGCTGCCTGCAATTAGTGCAAGTTCGAATCTCCCAGGCTCAAGGTTGACTCAGCCTTCCACCCTTTCGAGGGAGGTAAATTGAGGACCCGGATTGTGGGGGCAATAAGCCAACTTTGTATAGAACAACACTGCTTGGGGAGGGGGGGAAAGCCCTAAATAAGCAGGTATATACAAAAAAGTATGCAGGCTATTGCTATAATGCATTGTAAGCCGCCCTGAGTCTATGGAGAAGGGCGGCATTTAAATTGGACTAATAAATAATAAATAAATAAATAAAGGTCAGGCCGGCTGAGAATTATGGAAGCCGAAGTCCAAATACAATTAGAAAGGGCTGCTGTGTTTGAGAAGGCCAGGGGTCTACAATCTGCAGCCGCTTCCTCGGATGAAGTGGCTTCTTCGGCTGACTCTCTCTCTCTGTTTGTTTACGTCGCCAAATTTTATGTGCTGCACTCTTGAGTGCCTGATGGCCCTAAGATCACAAACATTGCCGGATTATGAAAACACAGCGCACGGTTCCAATGTAAACCTTTTGTACGTTTTTAAGAGAGCAAACAGGAGAAGTTACGGAATGGCTGCGAGGAAATCAAAGGAGAGAGAGAGAGAGAGAGAGAAGAGGAAGACGGAGATGGTTTATCCTGCCTTCTGGACCACAAATGGTCCTGGCAGGCAGAGACGTTGGTCACTGTTGGGTGGGAGAAACATAGAGGGGCTTTTATCTCTAGAAGGGGGGAGAAGCCCTTCTCAATCGCCAGCACGCCTTTGCTTCCAAAATCCTGGATAGTGCGGATGGACG